TGAGCTTTGTAAAAATCGATGCGTTTCAGAAAGGCAGGGCATAGAGGAGAAACAATAATGTACAGTATGTGGAAAATAATGTGTTTTTTTAACCTTAAACCGCATAAACACATTTCATTACACCAAATACACAAAATAAAGTTCTTTTTAGCAACATCATATGACCCCTTTAAGATCTTTAAAGGGATTTTTATTTGTTTATTTATTTATTTTCAAAAATGAAAATTCTGCCATCGTTTACTCACCATAATTTCGTTACAAACTCGTAAGACTTTCATTCATCCTCAGAACACTTTTTCTTTGTTGTTCACTAGTTCAGTGCTGTTCAGTCATTGCTTAGGGTTTTGGCATTGCAAGCAGTATGCCCTCATAATGACCTATTGACCTCAGAGAGATGGAGAGAAGAAGAAACATAAAACTGTGACATACCTACCAATTTTGTATAATCTTCTTTCTTTTCTTTCTTTTTTTTTTGAGTAAAGTGATGTGGTATAGTGTTGAGTGCAGCATTCATATCAGGTGTAAGTATGAATCATATCAGCAAGCTAAACAAATACAATAATACAAGCTAAACTAATAATAATAAATACTGAATGCATATTTGAATCATTTAAATAAAGTATTTTAACAACAATGCATATGTGTTGTAAATCAGTTTTACCAGAAACAGGCAAAAATGATTATTATTAGTTATTATTTCAAGTGTGGTTATATACAATATCAACACAAGAGTGAAAACTGAGTAAACAGCTTTTTCATTAAGTGTAATATGGCAAATTTAAATAATACAGATAACATTGATGTAATACTTATTTAGAGTGTCCAAGTAAACATATTAATTCAGTGATGTCAGACTCACTTTTCCTGCATAATCTTTATTTACTAAATGTAACCAGCTGACCAGATGCACAATTTGAAGCGCAAATCTCTCCGTCTTTGCTCATCATCTGTCTTATTCTTTCAGTCTCTCTTTCTCTGTGGCTGCAATCCTGTTCATTAGCTTAACATGAATGCACTCTGAGTGCTAGCCAATTGCTGGAAAGTACCATAAAATCCTTCAAACATCCTTTGGTCAGAATATGATCCCCCAAAGCTCTTCAGTGGATGGATTCAAAGAGTTAGCTTTTTTTTTTTTTTTTTTAAGTCCAGTTTGATTTCTGGATTAGTTTGAAATGTTTCACTGTAAAATCTGAAAATACATCCTTCTTTGAAAGTCATTATCAAAGCACAGTTTAAAAAAAATCCCTATTGGAATTCATTGGCGACTAGATGAAAAGAGGTGCATGCAAAACTTTTCTATTAAACCCAAATGGTCCCTTCACAGTGATGTGCGTGGTATTATAAATAAACGCTCACTCAAAGCACGGATGGACGTTGGAATCAGCCTTGATAGGCTACACTCAACAAACAAGATGAATAAAAGTCTTTTGTTCTGTTTTAATTTAACTGCTGTCCTTGAATATGCTTGATCTTACTGTTTGAAGAGGAATGGTAAATGCCTAGATGGGAAATTTGTGATCTTGCTAAGCCTTGTGACCTTTGCAGTGTGTGTATGTGCACAAAAAATGAGAAAAATATTTTTCTTCTTACACTATCTGAAAAAAAGTACAAAGTTGTCACTGGAGCGAAACCCTGAAGTACAAAAGCTAAAGAGCACATCTTTGTAACTTACAGATAAGTACATATTAATAAGTGTTTATAATAGTACCATATCAAAAGCTTCTTTTTTCTGAGAGTTCATGCAATCATGTGACATTCTCTATTTAGCATATTTCTTTGATAATCAACGCTCAGGTTTTTCATCTTATTCATGTATTAATTTAGTCATGCTCCCATTTTGATGTTTTGCTTTGTACTTTTTGTCATCAATATCAATGAGAAATTAAATGTAACATGAAATTTGTTCTTGCACTGCATGTAAATGTTGACAGAATGTTCATTTTTCAGGGTAAACAGTCCCTTTAAATCTGCTTATATCAATTCAGCTTTGCTTTTAGGGCTCCTCACCACCCACTTTGTGGGGCTTCCTGTACAGATTCAGTAAACCACAGCTTTATAAGAGCACCTCCTGCTCTCTGTGTGTGTAGTACATCTACATGTGTGTTTCTATGTAACCAGCAAGCTCCTGAAGAACCTGGAACAGCTCCAAAACATACCATGCAGCGTGGCCCCTGTATCTCTTTATATGGTTCCAGTGTCAGCTTTCACTGAGACTGCAGGAATGCTTTGAAAGTGATGTGGAAGGATG